TAAAAACTTTCTACACTGAAGCTCCTACCAGGTGGGAGGAGATGGGGAGGACGGTGGTGACAGTCATCACCTGCGCAGTACCAGTCAGCAGGAAGCCCTCAGAAAGTGTGCATTAAGAGAATGAAGAAGGAGGAAAGAGCTGACTGTCACATTCAACAAGCCTATGAAATTAGTTTTACAGTCTATCAAAACAAGCCACCGTATAACACACACACACAGCATTAAAGCAAATACGAAGAAAGAAGGAAAGAAGAAGGTGAGGCCCGGTCCTGTACATAATGAGTTCTCAATTCCTGAGTTCAGTTACCCAAGGAGAGAGCGAACCTGCCCTCTGTCTGAATACACCTTCCTTTATAAATTAATGCGTTGAATTACCAACCCTGAATTTTTTACCACCCATGAGCTCCATCAGCTTCATTAATAAGGCTAGCACAGCCTATGGGGTCCCTCTGGGAACACTGACAAAAACTGATGGAGGTTCTCATTGGTCAGGAAGGGCCTAAATGCAAATTCTACATGAAGACACAGACACAATGTGAGGTTCGGGCACAGTCTGGTGGCTTTTGCCCTCTCCTTGACATCCTAACTGCAACACAAAGCGTATCCTCTTTTATTTTTCTTCTTTTTTCCCTAAGCAGTATCCTTTTAAAAATGGGGGCAAACGATAACCAACTGGGATGTTTATAAATACAAGGTAGCAAGTGAAATGAGTTTAAAAGACAATTGAAATGAACACCGATCAAAGAAATGCTATCATAAAACTTTGGTAATTTTTACAGTGAATCAACATTGTTTGCACCCCACCCCACCAGCTAAAGGGCTTTATTTCTTCCCTCAGGGGCTACAAGGCCTTCATGGACTGGGATAAGGGGGAAGGAGACCCGTTTCCATACTATGTCTATGGTGCTGCCTGCTCTGAGGTTGAAATTGACTGCCTGACAGGGGCTCACAAGGTAAGTCAAGTCTCTCTCTCCTCTTGGCATAATAAAACGGCAACAACACAAGTGTGTCGTATAGCAAGTAGCCCAATTTCATCCTGTAATACCCACACAGGAACAGGACCCTTTCAATTCCATGGGAGTGTCCAGAGATCTGGACTTCTCCTGAATTTCCACTGAAGAGGACAATGTCATGGTCAAGAAGGAACTGCTCATAACAGCCTCAAATGTGTTAAATTTTGTCTTCCATTTCAGATGACAAAATCACTTTCCCAAGTTTTTCCCAGGAAATGATTCTGTTCCTAAAGGAAGGACAAATTATCTAATCCGAAGGATTAGGTAATCTAGTAGTCTTCAGCAAACATTTTGAAAGCATGTAGCAATGCGCTAATGTTTCTTCAAAGTCAATTACCCCAAGGATACTACTGACCCCTAAGGAAATAGATTTGATAAGAGAGACGTATGAAAATAATTTTTGTGTTTGCTATTTGAGTATCCAGGAAACCACCCATTGGAAGTAAAGAGCCTTCCTTCCCCCCTCCATCCCTTCCTTCCTTCCTCCCTTTCTTCCTTCTGTCCTTCCTTTTTGTAGAGACAAACTCTTTTTCTGTTGCCCAGGATGGGGTGTAGTGGCCTAATCATAGCTCATTATAGCCTCAAACTCCTGGGCTCAAGCAATCCTCCTGCCTCAGTCTCCCAAGTAGCTAGGACACTGAGGTGTCCACCTCATGGGGCATGTACCACCATGCCCAGCTCTTTTTTCTTTAAGAGGTAGGATCTCACTGTGTTGGCCAGGCTGGTCTCGAATGCCTGGCCTCAAGTGATCCTCCCACCTTGGCCTTCTGAAGCACTGGGATTACAGGTGTAATACAAGGTAGCAACATACCACACTCAGCCAGGAGTCCTATTTAACCCAAAGCTAACTACTTGCACCATAAAGGATAAATCCACAAATATACCCCAGGTACCATTCTGTGAAAAGAGAGATTCTGGAAACTTCAAGTATACCCAGAGTATGGTAAATTTTTAGGAAGTTTACATGATGCACCAATGACATACATCTAAATTCCTTTTATAAATTATTCCAACATCACTTTGAGCCACCTTGCCCCAAAATATAAATGGTCAATGTGTATAGATACAGACTTAACCAAATTAAAATATAGGACACCTAATTAAATTTGAATTTCAAATAAACAGCAAATAATTTTCTGACATAAATATGTCCCAAGCAATACTCAGGACAGACTTACTTTATCTGTCAATTCCACCCGAGGAACTCTAGTGTAAATGTGTAAAGGAACCAAACTCATGGGAATCATCCTTAGATAAAGTTTGGCCTTTTCTGTACCTTCCAGTTTACATTTACAGTTCAAGGTTCTGTAATTTCAGTATCGTTCTGGTACCTCAAAATAGTTTATTCCTTGAAGAGGCAAAACTTCTTTAATTAAAGAGAAATCAGAGAACTTAAAGTACAGGCCGACTGCTGCTGACTGCTGCTGGCTGCCTGTGGTTGGTGAACAAGCATCCATGGAGTCGGCATGAGCGCACAGCTCATCTCCTTCCATTCTCCAAAATGCATAATGCAAAACCTACCAGGTTTCAAGATAGTGGTGAATTGAAGGCCCACTCTGAGGTGCGTCCAGTGTCCCTCCCTGTGTAGGATGAGGATGGATAAAGGCCAGTCTCAGTTCCCCCAGCAGGTTGTCTGACAGGCCAAGAAATTTGCTAAATTCCAAGGGCTAAATACATAGAAAGATGAGCCCAGGTAATGAGAACGATGATACCGTCAGAACAACCTCTGCCAAACGGGGGCAGAAATAAAGCCCAGAGAGTCCCAAGATGGGCCACAGGCATCTAGGGGCCTTCCAGGGCTCTGTAACAACCTCCATGCACATGCCCGGTGCCAAAACAGTTTACATGATGCACCAATGACATACATCTAAATTCTGAAGAGGAAGCAGATTAGCAAAGTCAAAGGTGGTCTCAACATTTGCTCTAATACGTTCCAAAATCTTACAAATCCCCCACACTCATACATGCCAGTATATCTACATGATTTTCTCAGGAAAAAACGGCAACACTACCACTTGCATCAGATGATTATGAGGAATAGATGAGCTCATGACTTATATTCAAACAACCAATCCAGGTTGAGAATCAGATGAAAAAGCAGGCAAAGCAATTATTCACCAAGTGACTCAGATACACCAAGATGTCACGGACTTTGGAGTCATGTAACAGGAGTCAAAATCATGAGTGCCCATCTTCCAAGGTCATTGACAAGCCCAGCACTAAATCTAAAGAGTTTAGCAGATGTCCTACCAGCTGTAAGATTGACGGGGTTCGATAAATGTTAACTGTTATCAAGATCAAATCACCAGCAGGAGTTTTGGAATAACTAGACACCATTTGAATAAACCTGAAAATAATACTTTTTTAACTCAAGTATTTATGCTGAGGTCATTTTTATTTTGAACAGAAAATCAGAACAGACATTGTCATGGATGCATGCTGCAGCCTAAATCCGGCCATTGACATCGGGCAGGTAGGTGCTAGCCCACTTAGGTAGATGGCCCTTCCCGAGAGTGATTTTGGTATACATAAAGGGCTTCGGAAAAGGATTCATGTCACCAAGCTTGAAATTTTCCTCCTTCAGATCGAAGGATCATTTATTCAGGGAATGGGCCTTTATACCACTGAAGAACTGAAATATTCCCCAGAAGGCATCTTGTATTCTCGGAGCCCAAATGAATACAAAATTCCAACCATCACTGATGTCCCCGAAGAGTTCAATGTCTCCTTGTTGCCATCGTCACAAACTCCACTAACCATCTACTCCTCTAAGGTAACCGCCCAAACCTACTACAGCACCATGTAATGGATTGGGTTGTAGCATGGAAAATGAAAGTAGATGGACAAAATACTAAATAGGTCTTAAGTGTGACCAGGACTCAGTCACTAAAGACTGTGAGAATTTGGAGAGGAATCACCTAGAGACAACTAAAAGTCAGAGACAATAAATGATCCACACAATGGTAAGTATGGACCAAGGATGTCAACTTCCACTTTCATGGAAAACTAAAATTCAGCAAAAGGCTTTGACTTCTTGATAGACTAATACTTTTACTTAAGACCCTTAAGACTACAGTGTTAAAACAGGGTTGAAGGCACGATGTTACTGAGGTCTCAGAAGGCAGTGGCAGTGTGAACAGAACTCTGGATGGGTTCTGGCTCCAGCTCTGCCCCTCCCTGTGATCTCAGGCAAGTCACTGACCTCTAAGAAGCTCCACATTTCTGGTTGTCACAGTGGAGGGGTGGTTGGGAGGGTGCAAAGGATGTTACCACTAATGGCTGGAGGCCAGGAATGCAGCTAAACAGCCTACTGCACAAAGGAGCCCCTCCCCCCCCAAGCAAAGAGCCCCAAATGGCAACAGTATCAGAAAGCAAAGACATCAGCCCTTAGTGATTGCTAGAGTAACAAAACCACAAATTGAAATAAAGGTCAGCATTTGTGTGCATTTCTGTGTATAGGTTACGTTAAAACTACACCCAGTAAAAACTTCGTCTAGGTGTGAGATATATTGTTAAAGTTTTCTTTAAAGTCTTTTGGGAGGCCAGGCGTGGTGGCTCACACCTGTAATTTCAGCATGCTGGGAGACCAGGGCAGGTGGATTGCCTGAGCTTAGGCGTTCAAGACCAGCCTGAGCAAAAGCAAGACCCCCGTCTCTAATAAAAATAGAAAAACTAGCCAGGCGTTGTGGTGGGCATCTGAAGTCCCAGCTACTTGGGAGGCTGAGATAAAGAGATTGCTCAAGCCTCAGAGTTTGAGGTTGCTGTGAGCTTGATGACACCACAGCACTCTACCCAGGATGACAGAGTCAAAATAAAAATAATAACAAAAACAACAACAACAATAAAATCTTTGGGGAAATTTTTCAGTACCCCAAAATAAAGAGTCCATATACATCTTCAAGAATTTCATCATTTCCAAACCAGATCCCACTTACAGCCCAGGACTGTCCTGTGGATGGATAGCAGTGAGGTCAGTGTAAACTTGAAAGGAAGGACAAACACTGGGGCCTTTAAACTCTCATTGGACTGGAAATCACTCAAAGGGAAAAAGACAACTCAGATCCCACAGGCAGCAGCTTTCAGGCCACCAAGAGTAACAGACAGATGGGACCCTGAGTTCTTGTGGTCGTAGCCAGTCACTCATAGGTAGACCCTCAGGAATACCATAGGTTTGCAGGTCCCCTGGCGAGTGTATCATGTAACAATAACAGGACACTACCAGGTGCCAGGAGCCGTACTAGGTGCTTCTGCACCTCCTGACCCTCAGGACGCCCTTGAAGGTAGGTATCATTGCCACACTTCACAGAGACAGAGGCTCAGACAGATGATCTCACTATATGTACAGAGTAACATAGGCAGACAGGACCAGGATTCAGATTTGCTCTTTCTAGCTCAGGGGTTGCAAATTGGTGGCCCACTGGCTAAATCTAGCCTGAAGATATCTTTTCTTTGGCCCACATAGTGATTTTAAAAATCAGGGAATTTGGGGCAGTGCCTGTGGTTCAGTGGGTAGGGCGCAGGCCCTGTATACCAAGGGTGGCAGGTTCAAACCCAGCCACGGCCAAACTGCAACAAAAAAATAGCCGGACACTGTGGCGGGCACCTGTAGTCCCAGCTACTCGGGAGGCTGAGGCAAGAGAATCGCCTAAGCCCAGGAGTTGGAGGTTGCTGTGAGCTGTGTGACACTACAGCACTCTACTGAGGGCAATAATGTGAGACTCTGTCTCTTAAAAAAAAAAAAGTCAAGGAATTTTACATCAAAATACCAATATCTAAATTCTCTTGAAAATGTGGATGATCTGGTAATTATGGCCGCATTTCTGGAAGGCAACAATTAGCAAGAACCCAAGAACAGCTGCCCCCTTTAGCTAGGACATGGAGGATCTCTGCTCCACCACGGTCCCCACGACTCCTGACTGTCCTTCATCTGCCTATGTCACGCATTTACAGTATCTGCCCATTTTTTCAGATGATGGGTTTGGGACCGTGCATCTGGAATCAAAGTCTGTACTCTTTCTTCTAGAGCACTATCTCCCCTGACAGTGAATCATTTTTCTCTCTGCTGATGAAGCTGGCCAGTTAGTCCATTGATTATTTTTTACTAAATAGGGCACCTTTCCCTCACCACACCAAGATAAACACACACAGACACAAACATATATACACGCCTTTCCTATAGAACAGAGATTGAACTCAGACAAGACTAAAGATCTGCCAGCAGGGTGGCTCACACCCTGTAATCCCAGTACTCTGGGAGGCCAAGGCAGGTGGATTGCCTGAGCTCATAGGTTCGAGACCAGCCTGAGCAAGAGCGAGACCCCCATCTCTAAAAAAATAGCCAGGCATTGTGATGGACACCTGGAGTCCCAGCTACTCAGGAGGCTAAGC